GTAAGGCAGGAAACCACTATAAAAAAGCAGCGTCTGTGATATCTGAAAGTGGCTGGTCTCAGCACCGTAGGAGGTTGGCTCTTGGAGCAGGATTGCTCTGTGCTAGGCGCTGTACCAACACAGAAAAAAAAAAAAAAGATGATGCTTTCTCTACAGTGCTCCTGCTTTTTTATGCCTGTGGGCAGACTGCCGTGCTGCCTAAGCCCCTGGTGACAGCCCTCTGCTCACAGGGTCACAAGGCAGGTGCAGCGTCACACACCTCTTTTTCACCTTGGTCCTGGGAGCCGTCCCTACTTAAGTTTAATAGCAAGTGTTTGCAGGGTCAGATCCTCACTGCTCTTTCCAGTTAGGGGCAACTTTCCAGTACCAAAGCATTCCCAAGTAAGCAATTAATCCTTCCCCTACAGTGCTAGACAGACCTGATATTGGGAGCGGTTCTGCTTGGGACACAGGCAGACTGCAGAAAGGCGGGAGAGGAAGGCCAAAGGGCTGTTTTGCAGCAAGTCACTCGTTCCATGAGTTCAGCCTTCCCCCCCTCTCACCCCCCATGCAGATTGACTGCCAGCTGCTTGCCATTTTCTCCAAATTTAATTTTCTGTTTAAAATGAAATGCTCAAAACTCTCCAGCTAAAATTCACCCTGCTGCAGAGACCTGGCACAAGGCCAGAGCCATTTAATTAGGACTCAAGTGGCTGGCTGACCCTCGCAATAATTGCTAGGCTGCAGTTCATTGGCCCGCACCACCGCCAGAAGTCAGTGGTCAAATCTGAGATGTATTTGTCAGGGTCCAGGGTCTTGTTTCTGGTGCCTGATTGGCTGAGTGTAATTGAGCAGTGCATACTTGGGCTGGCCTCTGGCCAACGGCTTTTGCTACCGTTCATTCAGGCAATAGGTCATTTGAATGGAACAGTAATGGTAATAATTCCAGCCCCAGGTGTTCCCCAATCAGATGCACCTTATTAGTATCTCTGGAAAGCACAGCAGCAGCGGCTGATTATGGATGTGTTAGAGGGAACTGAAATCATTGCGGCAAAGAAGCGTGTCCTTGACCAACTGCATACATTCCCAGCAGCTCAAACTACTTGAGGTACCAACCCAAGTAAACAGCATTTCAAACACACCCAGCCAAAGTCTTCTGAATGTCAATGCTTTGTTCTCAAAACTTTAACAGCAGGGGAGGGGAAGGATTTTGCTCTTTAAAAAATCCCTCCCCCTCACCATCTTTTTTTTTTTTAACAGCCATGAAGCAGGTAAGAATTTTTTAAGTATTGATGAAAAATGGGATCAAACCATGGAACAATAAGAAATTGCTTCTTTTTTTTTTTTTGCATAAAGCAAGCTGGAACATGCTTACCTAACTCTAGTCACAAGCAGGACAGGGGTCTTCAGCCTTAAGCAGGAGTCGCTGGGTGCGTCTACACTAGATGCTTAATAGGGGTGCGCATAGCTTCGGGTGCTGATTCGATTTGGAGGAGATTCGGCCCGATTTTGGGTGGCTGAAGCTCCAAATCCGAATCGAATCACGGGAGCCAGTTGAAAGGTCCAAATCGATTCAAAGCTCTCTGAATCTTCAGAAAAGATTCGGAGAGCTTCGACGATTCGGGCAGTCCCTGCCTGCTGCAGCAGGGAGATGGACCCGGACTCCATGCTGGTAAGTAGGGGGCAGGGGAGAGGGGACCATGGGGGGACCCCTGCCAGCCCCCAACCCCCGCTCGCTCCCTCAGTCCCCCATGGCTGCTCCCACCCACCCCAGCTCCCAGTGCTTTAAAAAAAAACCCCACTCACCGGGTGCTGCCCAGCGGGGGATGATCCCTGTTGCCCCCCACCCCCATGGCTGCCTTACCCACCCCAGCTCCGGCCCTTTAAGAAAAAAAAAAAAAA